TCAGTGTCGGTGCTGTTTCTACGCAGGGTCCATCCGCATGGCTTCTCTGACAATCCCTGAAGGGGGTGGAGACACGTGTCCCTCCCGCGCCTGCCCCCGTCCCCCCAACCCTGTGTGTGCTCATCCAGCAGCAGCCACACAGGAGGCTCTGCTCACACCTCACACACCTGCCGTCCATGCTCAGGAGTGGGCCGAGCAGGGGGTTAACACCAGAACTCTGAATCCTGCCTCTAAAATTATTGAACTTCAAGGTGGGACTGGGGTGGGACCGTTATTGGGCTGCTAGCAGATTAAGTGTATCTTGGTGACATCTCAGGCTGGCAGAAGGGTGAGCTACCCCCAGAGCTATGCAACCCCAGCCTGGTAGGTCTCCACATGAGCCACATTCCAGGCATCCGTGTGGCCCTCCTCACCGGGTGAGGGCACAATGGTTAATTTAATTTACAAGCTGGGATCTGTCAGTACCTGTGGCAGTACCACCAGTGGGGGCCAGAGTGGAGGGAAGGACATGAAGGAACCCACAAGGGTCACTGATCTGTCCCCCGTAGCCTAGGACTTTCCAGATTCAGGATGAAAATCCCATGTTCCAGGGCCACACTCGCATCCCCACCGCCAACTCCCAGGCAAACGGGGATGGATGGTCCCCCTACCAGGGAGGCAAGAAAGAATAAAGAAATCAGGAGCCTAAGGGAATTGGGGTTTGTGGGGAAAGCGCTGGAAACCTGTGTTTAGCCAGGGATATACCCTGACCATTCTGTGATGCTGGAGGGTTGGGGACACGTAATTACATAGCATAGGAGATCACATCACGTCACATAATGTCACATAGTCTGGTGACGTAATGACATAGTGGGGGCATCTCCAGCCAGAGAAGAGGGTGAGGTTACCCAGAGTGTGTTACATGGGACGAGAGCTTGGGAACAAGTCTGCAAAGAGGAAAGGAGAGTGAGAAGCCTGTGCAGGAGATGCAGCGGGACAGAGAGGTGGCACAGAGCCGGGATCAAGGGGCAGCTCGGAAGCCAAGGGAGGAGATAGCAAGCAGCGGGATGTCGTCAAAGAGCGGAGAAACTGAAAGTCAGGGAGGGTTGGTCGGGGGGGATGGGAAACTGGAACCTAATATTTGGCAACCTGGGAAGCGCTAATTAGAGATGGCAGCGATGAGGAGGAGGTGGATGGGGAAGCTGTGTATGGTGTTGGAACGGGAGCTGGCAGGCCGGCGTGGAAACCGTCTCCCCCCACGCCCCCGCTCGAGCCTCAGCTGTGCCTGCAGCGGAGGGGCCGGGCGATGGGGCAGGCAGCAGCCCGGGGGCCCTGTAGGCCCTGGCCTCTTCCAGCCAGGGGCACAGACGGGTGTGACCAGGGCGGGGCTGTGGGTTGCAGGGTGACCGCATGGTCGTGAGTCCCGAAGAGCTTCGGGTAGGAGCGCCATCAAAGGAGGCAGGTGGCGTGTCTGAACGCCCAGAAGGAAGCATTATGTTTGCTTAGTTCCCTCCACGTGGGCCATCCTTCCCCCGCCGGGTGGGGCTCACAAACAGGGACACTAGAGGGGCCTGGAGGCCACTGTTCTTTTGGAGCTGGAGGATCTCACCGCACAGGCTGTCTTCTGCGGCTACATGGAGTGGTGCCGTCTCTCCTCGCTGGACTTGCTGGGCTCCAAGTCCCTGCGATGGAGGGTCCTGGCGTGGAGAGGGGCCGTTAGATTTCACTCGTCCTCCAAGCCAGCTGGCTGGCGGGGCTGGCTGCCTGGAGGCCGGGGCTGAGCCGAAGTCTGACGCCCCTTCCAGGACCAGCGGCACTGAGAGCTGAGACTGATAAGCGTTTCCTGCCAAAGGCATAGACTTGGAACCAGGGGAGCAGCCGTCAGACTTTGCCTTCCAAAGCTTAGGCCCTGTAATGGCGTACCTTGAGGTCCCCTTGCGAACGGACAAGCCCAGTGCTTTTCAAAACTGTTGAAATCACTGGGCTCCTTTCTTCAAATGAAATTTCACACGGACACAGTTCAAAGCAGGGCTCTTCTGGCCAAAGAGAGGAGAGAGGACTGGAGCCTCTTCTTCCTCCACCAGGGATAGCTTCTGAGACAACAGCTGGAAAGCCACTGGGGAGGCATATATTAGGAGGAGGCTGGGGAGGCTCTCTGGGAAGATGACATTTGAGGAGTCAAGGTGAGAATGAGGCCAGATAGGGAGGCAGGGTCCACTCAGGTAAGGAGTGTGGGTCTCGTACTGAGTGTGATGGGAGGGTTGTAAGCAGGGGAGAGAATTCTGATCTGATTAAATTTTTTAAATATCGCTGGCTACTCTATGGGGACAAGAACAGAAGGCAGGTTAGCAGGGACTTGTTGCAGCAGCTCACGTGGGACGCTGGACTAGGCTGGGACAGTGAGCATCTGGGTACCTAGAGGCACAGGGACGGTAGTGCATGGGTATGCCTTCTCATCTCTGCATAGAGACCTGGGATCGGGGGTGGGCGCTGAGGGTGAAGGAGGGCTGCTCCCCAGACCCTGGGAGGACCCCTTCAGAACCATCTTTCCCTTGGGAAACCTGCCCGGGCCCAGCCTGATTGTCTCGTCAGAGGGATGACACTTAGCATGTACTATGGGCTAGCCTTCCTCCTTTCCCTATGACTGCTGGTTGTGGGAGGGCCCTCCCCGCCCCCTGCTCCGTCCCCAGTTTGGTGCTCCTTTCACTTTACCCTCAACTCTTCATTTATGTATGTATGTCTCATAGCCCTAACAAGATGGTAAGCTTTAAAAAAAAAAAAAAAAAATCTTTTTATCTCAGGGCGCCTGGGTGGCTCAGATGGTTAAGCATCTGCCTTCGGCTCAGGTCATGATCCTGGGGTCCTGGGATCGAGCCTCACATCGGGCTCCCTGCTCCTTAGGGAGCCTGCTTCTCCCTCTATCTCTGCCTCTCTCTGTGTGTCTCTTATGAATAAATAAGATAAAAAATACATTCTTAGAAAAATATTTTAATTTTAGATTTATTTCAAGATTTTTAAGAGTGGGGATCATATCTTACTCTCCTTTTTATCTTCCTAGCATCTAGTGTAAACCCAGAAGTCCCAGAAATACTGGCTGATGAACTGTTTTGTGTCGTGGAGCCACTGTTCTGTGTCACAGGGATTTCCCCCCCTCTCCTCCCCACACCAGACCTGACGTCACTTCGGCGGGACGGCCATACAGGGACTATCCCTGCCTCCCTGGCCTGGGTTACACCTGCCCCCTCTCACAGCCAGGTCTGCAGCTCACAGCAGAGCCTTGCTTCGGGAGGGGAGGTTGGGGAGGGCTTGGGCAGAGCTCTTTTCCCTTAACTGCTAGACTCTGACAGCGGTTAGTCTTGGAGTCTGATTGGAATTAGGCCCAAAGCCCAAGCCATGGGGGGAGTTACTAAGAAGCGGTGACTATGCATTGTTCCTTGGACCCTCACGTAGGTCTCAGCAAGTGCTCGTGGAGAATGACATAACGGATCCTGAACTGGCCGCAGAGGCTGCAGCCTGCTACTGTCCGGGAGCGGAGGACCTCACACTGTAGTCTGGGCGAATGAGAGGAGGCCACTGTCCTTCCGCTGCGACACGGTTTCCACAGAGGCTCCCGGCATCTTTGTTAGCTCCCTCCCAGAGAGGCCCAGAGAGCTGTGGTGGCGGCAACGGGTGGGGGGCGTTCTGTACCCCACACACCCCAGTTAGTCACCAGCTTACAGGCCTGAGAGTTGAGTTCCTCACCTGAGCAAACTCCGTGAGGTGGGGTCCTCACCCACCTTTGGCGCCCATCATCTCTGTTCTCTGGGACTCTCAGCAAAATCCGCTGGGAGGCGGGTTGTCAGAGGGTACAGCCGGAGAACAGTGGTAACACGTGTCTGTCAGTCCATTTCTCGGGGATCCACCATGTGCCTGCATAGATCTGTGTGTGTGTCTCGTTTTTGGTTTTTTTTTTTTTAAGATTTATTTAAAAGAGGGACAGTGAACATGAGCAGGGGGAGGGGCAGAGGCAGCAGGAGAGAGAGAATCCCAAGCAGACTCCATGCTGAGCGTGGAACCCAACATGGGGCTCGATCCTAAAACCCCAAGATCACGACCTGAGCCAAAATCAAGGGCCACTGCACCAACTGAGCCACCCAGGCACCCCTGCCTATTTTATTTCTAATTATTAATACACATTTTCAAGTTTGAATTGATAAGTGTGGAAGTATGTAAATGGATCGGTCCTCTATCCTAACAGAAAACAGCAGCGTCATGTGGAAACTAACAGCACGTGGCCCAACTCTTCCCCCTTAGTCACACACAACCTCCAAACAGGGAGCTTAGATGACTGGCTCAAAGGGCCAGCTTTCCAGAGAGCCCCAGTTTTTCCCCATCGAGGGGGAATATTGACAAGAGCCAACAAACAGAAATTTTACAAGGTTCCAAAGTCACGGACAACTGTCAGGATGTTAAGGCAGGAAGATCCCCAATTAATCCTATTAACATAACACAACAAGACGGATGCTATCAACAAGCTGGGCCATTTCCCGTTGGTAATTAGGTCCACACGGACCTCATCTCTTTTACTCTCAATTAATCAACCCCATCTTTTCTGTCCTGTCCCCTCTACTTGCAGAGCACACCATTAAAGTAGTAGAGAGCGAGCTTTTGCAGCTAGGGGCAACTTGGGAAGATCAAAAGTTCTGGAGGTCAACCTTCACCCCCAGAACAAGTCACTGGATTTAATCAGGAGGATAGAGCAGCTTTGGATGGGAAGAAATGTCTCCATTTTTTAAAAGCAAAACGTATTGGAGAGCAAGGAAGCCGTGATCTCCTCACGCTATTCTCCTCTCTCTGAATATTGCCAGATATCAGTCTCGTCTGCAGGTGGCTCGTACCTGGGTCTTCTCATCTTTCCTACTCAAGAGAATTGAAAATGCTGTCAACCTCACTTCTCTCTGTCTTTTTCTCTCTCTCCCTCCCTCTCCTCCCCGCTCTTCCTCTCCCTCACCCCAACCTGTGTTCCCTCGCTCGCCCTCCAGGAACCTTCTGCATCATTTCACTGTGCACCTGTGTGGCTGGAATCAACTTCGAGCTGTCACGCTACCCGCGCTACCTGTATGGACTCCCTGATGACATCAGCCACGGCTACGGATGGTCCATGTTCTGTGCGTGGGGGGGCCTGGGCCTCACACTCATCTCGGGGTTCTTCTGTACCTTGGCCCCTTCTGTCCAACCTGTCCCGAGGACCAACTGCCCTAAATCCAGACCCGAGAACGGGACAGTGTGCTAAAAAACAAACCCATACCTATATATATATATATATAAATATATATATAATATACATATATAAAACAAAACTAACTCAAGAGGATGCCATCAGGCACCCACATCTCGCTGAACTTTGTGTCACCTCATCACCGGGATGGGGAAAGCATTCCCATCACGTGGCTCTTCCATCCTTTCTTGACTCTTGGCTCCATGGTTTCTTGAAAACAGAACGAACATCACCCCCCGTGGTAGCGTCCCGAGTCCCGTCCCCCTACAAGGATGGGGTGGTGGGCCGGGAAGGGACATGTCGTCAGGGGTCCGAAGCAGCCCGGATGTAGAGAAGGAGATGCCGTCCATCGGGCCGGCAGGGAGGCACCACCCCAGCACTGACCGTATCGCAGAGAAACAAAGCCCGTAGTTCATAGAAGGTAACCAGATCTTCGAGGCCATGTGCAAAACCACTTCTCCAGATCTTCCTGTTCGGATTCCCTTCCTGGCCCACCAGCGACACACAAGAAGTGCAAGAGAAAACAGACCGAGAAGGACATTTTCTCTTTGCTGCCAAACTTTCGGACCAAGTTCTAGAGGTGGGAAGGGGGCGAGAGCAGCATATGCTGAGAGGCAAGGCCCTCGTCAATAAAAGGACACTTCCATGGATGCTCAGAAAACCCAGTCTTACCCCCAGCTGCCTTACACCAGTCAAACAAGAGGCCGCCCTGCCCCTGCCCCCGACCCCACTTTCCGTCCTGCACGGGCAGACTGGAGCCTTGGAGTAACGCTGTGATGTGTGCGTGTGTGCGTGTGTGTGTGTGTGTGTGTGTGTGTGTGTGTGTGTGTGTGATGACTTCTGGTGGTTTCCTTTTCTCCTTTGCACCTTTTAAAATGGAAATACTGCATCATGACTATTGTCTCCATCCTTTGTGGTGGTTTCGCGGCCTGGGGCGGAGGCCCGAGACCGAGGGAGAATAATGAAGGGGCAAGCCAACGCGGGTGCCCGTTCCGTAGTTTCAGGTCCCTGGAGTGTGTGCGTGTGGTGGATGTTCTCTGAGTGTGGGGTTTTAGCGTTTGTGTTGCATTTTTCTATTATTTGTTGTGTGCAGCTGAAATTCCCCGAGGGCAGAACCGAGAACCAACCCACTGCGTCTCAGAGGGCCCTGTGGCCCTTCACGTCACAGTTCTGGGATGCTGCAGGATTTAGTCCTCTAAATCTGGAAGTTCAAGACAAAGCTGGGCACAAAAGCCATGAGAGAAGAGAGGGAGCACGGTTCAGGCGGGAGAAGGAACGTTTCCTCTGTGGCTGTCGTATACAAGTATGTATACCAAACCAAACCAGACCTTCACTCCCCATCGTGGAAGCTGTCCTTTGTCACTGGACATCTACCCCTCTCCTAGGGGCGACCTCTGTACAGATGAAAGGAAATGGGTCACGTGCAGAGAGAGCATCTCCATGTCCCATGGGCTCGAGTTTGTATGATATTGTGTAAATTAATGGAGAACTCTCGACTCTTCCCATCTTCTTCCTTTTCCTCTTGATATTCAAGGCCATGCATCCCCAAATAGCCTTCTTAGTGGCTAGCCCCCAGACAGGGGTGGCAGAAGTCCCACCCAGTGTCTCAGGCTCATTTGAGCAAACTGGCCCTTCAGGTGTTGGCGAGCCACGAAGCCAGCCAGAGTCATGGAAGCTGTAGGGACGAGCGTCCGCTGGGAAGAATGGGCAGGAACAGCTGACAGTCCCCTTGGAGACCCCACGGGGGCTGTGCAGCCCTGGGGAGGCAAAGAGTGAATCCCTGAGCTGCACAGTCACGGGTCAGCCATGTAGCTGAGAAATCAGTTGCTTCAGAACTAAGTGTGCTTCAGGCACTTTGCCAACAACAACTCAACAGCCTTCCTTTCCTTCCCATGCAAGCACCTGTTTCATCTACCTGTCTTCTGATCTATCTTCCTATCAGTCCCACCTTTCCTCACCTGCTAACCACCTCTCCCTCTTCTATCCACCAGGCTATGAGTCCTACCTATCTCCTCATCTGCTGTGTGTGCGTGTGTGCGTGTATGTATGTGTGTATGTGTGTGTAATTCACATCCAGATAGGACATCCCATGTGCATGAATGGCCTGAATGTGGGTCTCTATATATGTGTAGCTCTCCGGTGCATTTTCTGTGTGTTTGTATCAATATAACCTGGACGTGGGTGTGGGTTTACTACTCAAGGCTTCCTTCCCAGAGGTGCTGGTCAGCTTCTTCAGAAGGTGTCCTGTGTGTGTGCCCCTTGTATGGGTGTGCTGAGAGATGAGGGTGGGATATGAAGCAGAAAATGCTATTACCTTCTGATTGGGCTTCTAAGGATTTTTAAAATAAGGGATTTATTCTATGAGAAGAGAAACCATTTTCAGGAAAAGCCAATTTTTCTATTGTATACGAAATTTTAAAACACTTTTTTCTTGAAAGGTTAGATTTCCCCCTTTGAGGCATACAAGGGCTTGAGAAACAGTGAGAAGCATCCCACACTGAGAGGCCTCGTATCTTCCTTCCAAGTGTCTTGAGTGGGCTCTGCCCAGCAGGGAGAGACAGGTGTCCACCAGCATCTGTTTGGGGACAGAGGGCTTGTCTGTAACCAGACCCAAACTCTAGCTGTTTCCCAGCAGGAAAACGGGGAAAGAATTTCTAAAGGGAGCAACTTGCTATCATTCAAACTTTTCTTAAGTAGCCCTGTTTGAAGATACTGCCTCACTGCCCTGTGACTATACCTTCTTTTTTTAATCCCATGCTTGCCATAGATGGGTCAGCCGCTCTTTCCAGCTCCTCATCTTTATGATCGACCCTTAATACTGCTTATTGTGCCCCTTCAAAACCTTCCTGAAATATTAAGAGATGCCTAAGAAAGAAGTCAACCACTTGGCTTACCTCACCATCAGGAGAGCAGGAGTGTTGAGCTACGGCTTTGATAGTGAGGCCGGACAGGAACAGATCCCCTCTGAGGTCCAATTCTGCTTGGGGCCAGTGAAAGGCCTGAGCCAGTGGTCAGGATGGAAGCCCCGTACAGAGAGGGCAAGTCCTTGCCCGGGTGAACTCGATCCCTCCAACACAGGGATCCAGGTTAAGACCTTACCCCCGCCTCCCCCCAACCTGAAGCAGTGGCCTGGCTGAGGAAGAAGGAAGGGAGCGGGGAGGGAGAAGGAAGAGGGAGCCTCTGCCAACTTCACCTCAAAGTAGAACCAACCCTTGGATAGGATTTAGGGTTAGCAGCCTCATTAAAGCCCCAGCCCTGACCCCGGGTCAAGTTCAAATTCCTTACAGGTGTGCATGCAAGGTCCCTGATCTTGGATGTATTTTGAGCTCCATGCGAGTCTGCCTTAAGCATGGGGCTCATTTCAGCTTTCATTTCCTTCCTTACCCTATGAGATTGGGGATTTAGGAAAGTGGAATGTCCGCTTGGAAGGAGGTCCTATTTCTTTCTCCCCATTGTGGGAGCTTTGTTTCCTCCACATTTCCTTTTCCTCTCCCTCCACTCATTTACACCTTCCTTCTGCATTAACTTAAAATAGCTGATCAGTTAAAAGAGTTCAGAGGGGCTCATCCTCTCTCTCCAGGCAGCCCCCCTTCCTCATCTGTTATGGCTGTAGGCTCCAAAAGGAAATCAGTAGCTTCCAAGCATGGAAATATTACAAATAAAAAATTTAAATGTGCCTATTCCAGCTTCAATCCTCCTGAAAGCCTCAGCCTTTGAATAACTACATCCTTTCAGCTTCAGGGATCACAAAGTCAGGAAGACTCACCATCTCCACCAAATCAAGACAGAACCTTCCTTGATCACCTGTCCATACGCAGCACCCTGAGCCCATTCTGGTATCTTCTCTTGTTGGGGGGCGAGTGGTTCCACCTAACAGTGCTTGCCTCTCTTTTGATGAGGCAAGACACATTATCCTGGAACTCTTGAGTACGGGCCCTACCTCGTAACAGTCATCCACAGTCAAGAGAAGAGGTCTACAGTGAACCAGCATAGTTGCTCTGATTGAATGGGGGATGAGATTAGATCCCTAAAATTGCCCACCTCAGTCAGACTCCGCATAACGAAATCAGGTACCTGGAGGCATTGACTCTGGCTTATTCTGGGAGCGTTAATTAACTGATTTTCAAGTGTCTGAGGGGAAAGAGTGGGAAGATATACACTCTGGTCATCTTTGGTGTGGTTTGTGCGGGTCGCTTGGTTGATTCTCGCGGCTAAAGGGAAGCTGCCTTTCCTGAAAATGTTCCTCCTGCTCAGGGGTCAACCATCCCAGGGGACAAATCAAGCCCTTTGAAGGGAACTATGATGAGTCATAGGGACAGGTGATTTCCCCATAGTTAGAAATTACTGGTGCATCCCAGCCGGGTTGCCTGCTCTGCTGTCTTCTAGGTGGTATCTGATGGAGTAAGGGGACAGGCTTTTAAACAAGCCCATGGGAGTTGATAGACACAAAATCTTCTGGTGTCTCTCAAAGCAATCAGCTTGGTGGGCTGTATCTGCACTCTTCCCATTGATGCCTCCATGGTGCAAAATGTTTCTTAAACATTATTGTTAGTCCCTACATGACATTATTATTGGCTATCGGATTACTTTTTCTGAATAATAGAAAACTCTAGAAAATTAGAAAAATAAAGTACAAAAAAAACCAAAAAAGACTAAAGGATTGTTTATAATTCCATCACTCAGGGGCATCCTGATGGTCAACAACCCCAGCAACTTCCACAGTCTGTGGTTGTCTTGGGCTGGAAGTCAGGGCTAGGAGTGGAGTCCCAGACCGCAGAACCACACTGGTCTGCATGGACTTGACCATGACCCTGTGTTCATAGCAGAAGGATCACAGGGCTCTGAGCCCCCAAAGACCACAAAGAGACTTTTTGAAAAAGTCCAGTGTCAGAGCATAGGGATGGGCAGAACGGAATGAAGAGATTCCTTGGGATTTTTTTTTTCATTTTCTCCTTTTTTTTTTTTTTTTTGAGTGTTATCTCAATCTAATTATAGGTGTAAGAGCACAGAAGCCA